CCAAGGTTAGGCACCCAAGGAGGTCGACCACCCCTCCTCAAAGAGTACGTTAAGCTTTTGGTGGTCTGCCTGAATATGACATCAGTTCTCCCAAAAATCTTACAGGCGAAAATGACGGGCATGTCCCTAACGTAAGCCTGCCAAGCGTAGGCAAGGCTAAGCCTGTGCTGAACCGTAACAAAAAGGCATTTTTAATATCAAGCTGATATAGAGGCTAGTCAAATATAACTACTAAGGATATCAACACACGAATTGAGCCAATTTTGGCGACAAGAGAGAATGTCTCTATATAATCCACACCATACAACTGAGAGCACCATTTGGCCATCAACCTAGCCTTTAGGCACTCAATGCTCCCATCTGGTAAATATTTGACTGTATAAACCCACTTACAACCTACAACATGCTTATCGGGTGGAAGAGTGGTGAGTTCCCATGTGTGATTATGATTAAGGGCGGAGAGTTCCTCTTCCATTGCTTTGCGCCACTCTGGGGAGGTAATAACTTTCTGTACATTCTTAGGGATAGAAACAATAGATAAAAGGGAAATAAACTACCAATGGGAAATAGAAAGATGAGAAACTGAAACATGGTTAGAAATAGGATGCAAAGTACAACCATGTTTACCTTTTCACAAGGCAATGGGGAGATCAAGATCAAAAGAAGATGGCATCATAGGGTTAGGAATAACTGCCGAATCTATTGACGAAGAAGAAACTAGATGAGGAGTTGGTACTTGTTGATGTGTATACACATGCCTGATAGGTGGTCGCTCAGTAGGAACTTGTCGTGGAGGAGATGAGGATGCAGGAGCAACAGGAAGAAGAGGAATGGGGTCAGCAACAGGGACTGGAAGAGGAGCCACAAGGGATGAAGAAGGACTATCACTACTTGTAAAAAATAGAACAAACTCGAAAAAGGTGACATCAGGACACATAAAGGAACATTGAGATGATGGATGATAACACTTATAGCCCTTATGTGTCCGAGAATAGCCAAGAAAGATACATTTATACAGTATGCATCTAATTTGTCCATCCCTAGGCGCAAATTATGAACAAAGCATGTACACCTGAAAACCTTTGGAATAAGAGGAAAGGGAGACAACATAGGAAACAAGATGGAGAAGGGAAACTAATTGTCTAGGATAGACAATGGCATCTGGTTAATGAGAAAACAAATTGAAAGAATTGCACCACTCTAAAAACCTTTAGGAACACTTATATGATTTAAAAGGGACTGAGCAGTCCCAAGTAGATGACGGTTCTTGCATTCAGCCACCCCATTTTGCTGAGGTGTATAGGTGCATGAGGTTTGATGGATAATCCTATATTCTAAGTATTTTTGAAATGGGGTATAGAAGTATTCTTTTCCATTGTCAAAATAAAGAATTTTAATGTAAACACCAAACTGAGTGTGGATTTCAACATAAAATTTTTGAAAAACGAAGAACAATTCACTCTTTTCTTTCATAAGATAAGACCACACCATCCTTGAGTAATCATCAACAAAATTACAAAGTACTTGTAACCATTTTACGACACAACTCTGTTTGGACCCCAAATATCAAAATGAACTAAGGAAAAAGAACTTGAACTATGACTATCAACTCTAGGATTGAAGGAAACCTGATGATGTTTCCCGTATTAACATGACTCACAATCCAAAGAAGAAAAGATGACGCAAAGACGAAACAAGTAACTGAACTGTCTTGAGAGAAGGATGACCAAATTTGTAATGCCACAAAATAGGTGTAAGAAAAGAGTAGAGAGCTACTGTCGAACCACCATCATCAAGATAATACAACCCATTAGCTTCATTCCCTCCACCAATCTTCATCCCCGTCTTCAGATCCTGGAAAACACAAGAATTAAGGAGTGTTATAGAACAATTTAGAGATTTGGTCAATTTACTAACAAACATAAGACTAAAAGGGAATTTGAGTATATACAAAACTGAAGACAAAGATAGCGATGCAGTGTCTACGTTTCAACACTACAAATAGGTGAGGTAGAACCATTAGCTAAAGTTATTGCTTGTGATATAGAAGATGGAGAAAGAGAAGAAAACAAACTTGGAGTCCCAGTCATATAATCGAAAGATCCAGAATCAATAATCCAAGGTGAGAGTTTAGAAGTCAGACAAGTCACTGACTGGGCAAGAGTAGTTGTATTCTGTTGGGAAGTAGCCTAAAGAAACCTTTTCATACTCATTACATGAAATACTCATCATCCCCTTCCCAAATGCACTAGTAAATGTAGAAGGTGTTTGATTAGTTTGTTGGGTATCAACTACATCACCACCACTTCTTGTTGCTGCATGATTGGCGCATGTAAAAGGATGTCCATGTAAATCATAACAAAAATTAACAGTGTATCATTCCATCCCATTGTGTGTACACTTCTTAGGCCCATAACTACGACCTCTCCCTAATTCTCGACCTCCACTACACCCACCACCATAGTGCAACATAGGTCCACCAGGACCTCCCCCTCTCATCACTACAAAGGTTGATCTATTTGAGACTATAGGACTCTCTAAAGACCCAATATTAATCCTATGAATTTGTGCAAACACTTCTTCAAGAAAGGGAAGAGCAGAGCTTCCAAGAATTTGAGCCCTAATTGGATCATACTCAGCTTTTAACCCAACCAACGGTCACATGTAGTTGCTTCCTTTGTTGTTGTTGAATTTTAGCATATGATGTCAAGGGATGATAGATACTCAGCTCATTCTGAAGATTCTTCATACTGGCATAGTACTCCTCAACTGTCTAATTTCATTGTTGCAGATTAAAGTATTTTTGATAGAGTTAATATACCCTTGTAGTATTATCTTGTTTGGAATCGAGTTTTTTGGCATGATTCAAATCTCCTTTGTTGAATCCAGAAACATAAAGTTCATGTTAATTTTAGGTTCCATGCTATTCCACAATCATGCCATAATTTGTGCATATTCTTGTTCCCAATCACTATACCCCTAAGAATCAGATGAGGGTTTTTCCTCCTTTATATGTTTCACTTTCTTCTTGTCTCTATGAAATACCTCCGCTAACTTAGCCCATGACACATAATTTTCACCATTCAACTTGATGGAAGTCATTTGTACATTCAAAAAATCGGGGGGGGGGATCATAACACTAGACTTTTGATTGTTGTTGTCTCCTAGGGTTTCCAACACTATTCTTACACCTATTACTCACTTCCACAAATAAGAAAATTTCAGAAAATCACTCCTCATACATACCTATTGATAGGCCAACTACAACCAATCCAGAAAACCACAATTGTGACCTTTCAGATCATCAACACACCCCACACAAGTGTTGCACATCAACTGATCACTGATAGTCCCTCTACGATACATCAATTAGAGGGTTTCTCTAAAACTCCACTGAAATCACACCTTCTATTACAACTGGAGGCATGGATACCTCCCTAGGCAAGAAATGATAATTCCTTTTTAGTCTCTCTTCGATCCTCCAAGTATTCACCAAGAAAACTGAAGTTCAACCCGCTAAGGGTGCTCAGGAAAAAAGAAATTGGGAAGAAAATCCTTGGTCGAGGGGTACCAATTGCTATCGTCACCAAGCTAATATGCCTATGCTTAACTAACAACAATTCTCATGGTCCCTCCTACCACATCACTAAAATCCTTCAATGGTTGGGCCACCAACAAAGTATGGTATGGATTTTTCAATATTTTCATAAAGGTCCTCACCATTTCTTCTTTCAATGTAAAGTGGTGCAATTTAACTGCTATCTCGTGCCACTTGTATGCATAATTAAGAACTGTCTTTTTCGCATTTTATACCATAGCTTCAAGATCAACTTGGTTTGGTACCAATTCCATGTTGTAAGAAACATGATCCAGAAAAGATTTACTTGGTACATTTCATTTCATTAGTACTCTCAATGAATTTATTATTATCAAAACACAGAATCAACACCCATGAGTAATAACATACAAGTACAGATGTTCCTATTTGCAGTTACAAGTATTGTGACGTTAATATGACTAGCAAATCCAAATTCTAGGACAGCAAGGTGCAGTTAAGGTCCATTAACCATACTACGAAGAACCCACAGATGTGACGATCCCACGACTCCAGATTCAAAGGGATATAGGTCATCGACATAAGAAGTACACACTTTGATAATGTGTATTCAAACATACATCACAACCAACAATACCGGGAGTCTAGAACACGTAGATACCATATGACGATTAATAATATATCAACCAATGTTACTTCCAATCTACTAAAAATTCATTACAAGATATGTCAAATTGTTGTTAGGTCAACGAGTGATTGATCATTGATAAATCCATCTTATTGTTTTTCCCGAAAATCATTTAAAATATATAAAATACATTATTTTTTAATTTCTAAAATTTTCCTAAAAATTAAGAATAATCCCTTTTTGACCTAGCAATTAAGAATTTGAATGATACCCTACAATTCAGTGACCACTTGAATATTTTGAGCCTTTGTAGTGATCTAATCAAAAAGCAGATCAGCCAATGTTCTATATTTAATACGCAGGATCATTTGGGTGTGTTAAAGTCTCAAGAACTTGTGAGGCAATTGCTATAGTAGAACCCATAGAGAGAGAGAGAGAGAGAGAGAGGTTTCTCTGATGGTGGTCCAAACATCATCAGCAATTCATCTGTATCATGTGGAATATGTCTTGTTATTTGCTTGCTGTAAGCCTGTAACTACAATCTAAATGGAGCAGACCATCTGCCATTCAATAAGGCCATATAGTTTAATGTGAACCATTGACCATTTAGCATCTCCAGAGCATACATGATCAATAAAATGAGTACAAAGAACGATAATATTAACATCAACAATATTCCTATAATAACTGAAGCTACATACCCATGAAGTAAATACCATTCTTCTGTACATGCATTAAGAACTACAATCAATATCACAAGTAACAAAATCAGAAGGAATGACAACTGACGAATTATGAAATATTGAATACTACAACTTGAGATTTAATGTTACTCCCTTCAAAGATAGACATCATCATCAACAACAACAACAACAACAATTACTGGATTTCTACTAAAAGACAACTTAAATGACCCGCGGAATGACAAAGAATTTCATGAATTAAATCGACATTTAACACAGTGAAGACGTGTGGCTCATGAAAAACAGAGGCCATATCTTTCTCGTCAACTTCCTGACAGTTGAATAAATTATTACAGGGAAACAAGTCGAGATAACAAGCGAATGTATCAGATGGCTGCCAATTCCAGGCTTCTGTCCCTCGCAGAAAGATAAATACATTAACTCCTGGCATTAGGTTGATCTGCAGAAGTAACAATAGTTAATAAGTTGATTATTAATTTTAATTTAAAAGAACCTACTGTTAAAATTTTCATTTCATTAGAAAGTATTCTACTTGAGATAGATCAGTTCCAACCAAAACCCAAACAAATAACTCTCATTTGCTAATCTTTTAATACTGGTATGACCATATGTAGTAATCCCAACCAAGGTCAAAATATCGAAACGTATCCATGTGTATCAATAAATATATATTGGTTTTCAGGGTAACCAATATGCTAAATGATGGATATTATGTGATTTCTTTTGTTTTTAACTTTAGAAGTTTATGTGACTTATCTTGTCAAAGTGTTAAGATCAATGAAGTAAGAGAAAGATGTTTCTATTAAAAGAAATGATTGACACACAAATTTTGCATACTGAGAGTATTGATACTTTTGAACCTTGATCCCAACCAATCCCTGTATATAGCTTGCTATACGTTATCTATACTCCGACCACAAATATGACATGACATACTGGGTACATCTAGTGTCAGCTATCATTTTAGCTTTCGTTTTGAAATGTGAAACCAACATTTAGGAGGATGTTCACCAGTATGTATTATTTTGTTTTTCAAACCAAAAATACCTTACACATCAGCAAAAACAATATGATTTTACTGATGTGATGATTGCTCTTTATTTCGAAAAACAAAATCATACATATTAGCTAATTACTCCTCTGGATTATTTGGAAATTTCTTACCAGTTGTTAGTTTGCCACTTTCTTCGTGATTAGTACTGCCATTTACATGGGCTGAGTTGGAGGCAGAGCCACTGTCCTGGGCACCTCGGTGTAGAAGGTGGGAGAAGCCTTGTCCTATTGATTTCCACCATCCAGAGGATTGCAAATTTTCAGTGCTTCCAACAGAGGGGGGCTCAATTGGCTGAGCTGAAGCTGGATTCAGTTCTGAGAATCGTACAGCTCCTAAAATCCGTTCTGGCAGCTCTGATTGAGTTTGACTCTCAATTAAAAATGCTAGATCAACAGTCAGTGTTGTAATGTAACCAAATGCTAAGTGAACAATCGCATTTGCAACCATTGAAGCTCCAATATCAACATCAACTTCTATGTAGTTCTCCCCTATGAAATACTTGCAAGAAACAGCTCGTCCAAGTATACATATGGCCTGCTCCCCCACTGCTGTTCTGACAATCCAAGGACCCTTTACAATATTGGCTATTAATTTAAGCCTTGAATTCCGGAAAGCATCATCCCCTTTCAAAAATTGATCCATCAAGGACCCCTGTGGAATAGGATCCAATGATACAAAATATGCTACAGCGCTATAGTTATCCTTACTAGGGACTTGTAGATTAAAAGCCCATACAAAAGGCTTATCAGCCATTGGAAACTCATCCTCGATAGCTTTCCTAATATGGCTATTTGGGTGATTTAAGATCTCACTAATTTTTGAAGCACCTTTGATCCAATCAAACCCAAGAGGCCTTAGAAGGTAGTCACCTGCAGGAACCTTGACTTTGGTAGTCAAATACTCTGGACCTCTAACCATGAACTTATCTCCTGGTGGGGAAGCCCAGCCATTTGGGCAGTTATCTGGTTCAAGAAGTGGAACGGATCCTTCATTTTTCACTCTTTCTATCCACTCATGCTGATTGTTCCCATCACAGCAAGCCATATGAAAACAAAGTAACCTGGCAATATATAAGATAATCATGCAACCAATCAGAAAATTATGAGATAATCATGGAGAAGATATGGAAAAACATGTAGATGAATATTTACATTAGACTGTTTATTATTAAATGCAACAGCACTGTATTATTATTAATATTTTAAGTGCTCAGATTGTACTATGCACAATTATAGTTGGCACTTATATAATGCACAATTATTTGGTAAAATCTCAGGTTGGCAAGCATGAGAATGCAAGTTCAATTCTGAGAGCAGTCACTTCACTTTGTGCTAAAAAAATTCCAAAGGTTAGGACCATATCCAGTCTACCCCTCCCAAGACTCCAGATAGCTGGGACCAACATTGGGTAATGTGCTTTTTATCTATTCATTCTTTCTATGCTGGGCTAATATCCAAACTTCCATGCAGTCAGCTGTTTGATGCTCAGTGCCTGGTTTTACATGCATATAGAGGCTGTGGTAGCTGACTGCTGGCATTTATTAGGAGAGCACATGTTAGGAACTGCCTAACCAGGGTTTTTCGAGGAACCACCCTCCAGAACAGAAATGAATATAAAAAAAGAAACTCAGATCTGATTTTTCATGCCTTCCCCATACATGAACACACCCTTATATAATCATCATTGCAATCAAATCATTTCGGTTATGCTTGTGGGTCCGTGCTAACTAAATCCTGCGGATGTGGATGATGTGGCCTCCTGCAAAAGACAAGCTGTCCTGTAGCTTTCTCACGTGAGGTCTCTGCTGCGACATCCTCTGGGCCTGGCCTAAGGGGCTGGATTGGGTTGGGCCTGACCATCCCCTCCCGGTTGAAGCAGACCTTGGCCTCAAGGTCTAGCTGAGGGAAAATCATCTTGCAGCTTCAGGTAAGGCTCCAAAGTGGCATCCTCAATAGGAAGATTATCCCATATCACCAATGCTTCTAGTATCACTCTGCCATTTTTTCTAACCCATCGAAAATCTGTAATGAGTTTTGGTTAAGCTACCAGAGACCCATCTTCAGTGAAGTCAGGATGAGAAACTCCCTGTATGGTTCCTTCTTTAAGGTTCCCTTTGAGCAAGGAGACATGAAACACAGGGTGGATTTTAGACCCGGCTGGGAGTTCGAAACTGTAAGCAGCTACTCCAATTTTTCCACAACCCGAAAGGGCCCAAAATATCGAGGGGCTATTTTCCTCCAAGTCAGACAAGGCAAAGAAACTTGCAGGTAGGGATGCAGTTTGAGGAAGACCCAATCCCCCACCTGATACTGCACATCTTTGTGTCTGTGATCATAAGCTTTTTTCATTAGTTTCTAAGCTCTCAGTAAATTTTCCTTAAGTTCCTTGAGGATGGAATCCCTCTTCAAAGGTGTTCTTCTAGGGTAGCCATAAGCCACTGATGTAGAGCCCCATTCATATGGAATAACAGGGGGTGGATCTTGCCCATACAATGCTTTGAAGGGAGTCATAACTGCTGCTGCATGATATGTGTTGTACCACCACTCAGCCTATGGCAACCACTCCATCCATGATTTTGGAAGGTCCCCAACAAAGCACCTCAAATAAGTCCTAGGCACCTGTTTACCACTTCGGTTTGCCCGTCAGTCTGTGGGTGGTAGCTGGTGGATTTCTTCAGTTTGGTGCCCTGCAGTCTAAAAAACTCCCAGAATTTGCTCATAACTGGGTCTCTATCTGAGACAATCGACTGCAGGGTGCCATGGAGCTTGGCAACCTCCTTGGCAACCATGGCAGAACTATAAGGGTGAGGCAAGCCCACAAAATGGCTATATTTGGTGAACCAGTCTACAACAACCAGTATAACTGACTTCCCTAGAAATTTTGGAAGTCCAGATATGAAGTCTATTGAGATATCATTTCATTCCTGGCCTGGAATGCGCAGTGGATGTAACAGTCCATATGGGAGCTGAGTGTCATACTTCTGCAGATGACAAATTGAGCAGTTAGCTACAAACTCCTGCACCTTGGCCCTCATTCCCTTCCAAATGAACTGAGAAGCCAGCTTTTTATAGGTGCGCAAAACCCCAGAGTGCCCCCTTTCTGTTGTACTGTGAAATTGCTCCAAGAGCACGACAATGAGGCTGATTTGGTTGTGCAGATAGTGAACAGTCAGCCCATCAAATATGCCCTCCATTTTAGGACCGATAGCACCACTGCTATGAGCTCTACTTCATAGGCTGATTTGGCTGAAGTTTGGTCAGATAATGGCTTGCTAAAGAAAGCTATAGGCCTGCCTTCCTGCATTAAGATGGCCCTTATTCCACCATGAGAGGCATCGCTCTCAATCACAAATTCCTTACTGAAGTCGGGCAACATAAGTACAGGAGGGGACTGGGCCATGGGTTTCCAGGCAAAGGAATCCTTCTTGAGCAGCTGGGTCAATGGAGCGGCTATCTTGCCATAGTTTTGGATAAACCGTCAGTAGTACCTGGTCAGTCCAAGAAACCCCCGTAGATCTCTAACAGTTTTGGGTCTAGGCCAGTTTGTCATACATGATACCTTCTCCGTGCCTGCTATCACCTTACCACCCTCTACTATGTGGCCCAAATAATGGACCCTGGTCTGCCCAAACTGCATTTCCTTTCTTTTGCAAAAAGCTGATTTTGTTTAAGAATTCCAAGAGTAATTTGCAAATGGGCCAGATGGGTCTCCCAGTCCACACTGTACACTAGGATATCATTAAAAAAAACTATGATAAACTTCCAAAGGCTTTTTGAAGGAATAAGAAAGAAAATAGGGAGAGAAAGAAGAGAGAAAATACCTGGAATCACTCACAGGGTGCCTAGAATCACTGTAGAGCATGGGAATCACTCACCATAATTAGCATAAGCTGAAGAAAACTCAATATATTTCACTGCCTTTGTGTAAAATGTCCATACATATTTATAGACTCTAAACTCATAATAATCCTAGGAGTCAAACTGTTAGACTCATAATAATCTTAGGAGTCAAACTGTTAAACTTAATAATCCTAGTAGGACTCAAACTAAGCTGTCATATCCTATTTCAATTCAAAGAAGTCTCAATAACTCTAATCCTACTTATGCAATGACTCAAAATTTTTTTTGATGAATAATGACTCTGAAATTTTAAATGTAAACAAACTAAAAATAGACAATCAAACCCTATTATTGGACCCTACAGAAAATTTTATACCCTTGGTGTTCAATTCAGTCCAAATTCCAAGTACCATCAGGTCCACCGCTATGCCATATCAGGACCTGTTGTAAGGCCTTCTTCTTTCTAGAATAAGTCTTCAAGGGTGCTGATCGATTCCTATCACTTGGCCCAGGGTACCAATAGGATTCTATGATTGTGGGGGCTCTTGGAGGTGGCAGGCAATTGGGTTCACTAAAAACCTCTTCATATTGTTTTAAAAGGCTGGGTGATTTCAGCTGGAAGTCATTAGGCCCATTCGGCCCAGTTGGCTGTGATAAAATAGGGCCCCCGCTGCTAGCTCCCAAACACATGAAGGTAGATCTAGGTCAAGTCTGAGCCAACTAATCATAGCCAGGTCTACTGGTTTGGGAGCTCTAACATCATAGCCTTGTAAGTGCACTGCACCATAGTGTCCCCCAATTGGAAGTCCATAGTTAAACAGTTCCAATCACATATCACTGGGCCCGCCAAGGTGTCTCAACCACTATTCCCCAGAACTATGTCAGCCCACTAAAGGGGTACAAGTCCACCTTAAACCGGTAACCTTGCACCTTAAGGGTCAATCCAATGCAAATTCCATCACATTTCAATTGTTCTCCATTGGCCACCCGAACCATAAATGCTGTGCTGGGTAGGACCATCAGCCTCAATTGTTTCACCAGGTGCATGAGATAAAATTCATGGTGTTGCAGCTGTCAATTAAGATAGGCACGTGTTGGTTGAATTGGATCTCAGCCTATTTCAGTTCCTCCAGTGTCTAGAATCGGACCCAAATCTTCATTATCTCCATCAGGCCCATTGGTCTCAAGTAAAAAAGTCTACTGGGCCTGCATTTGTGACCCAGCCCAAATTTCTCTTCACAATTGTAGCAAAGACCCTTATCTCTGTGGGCCTGTATTTCGGCCCAAGTCAGTTTTTTAAGGGCGACGGTCAGCCCAATTGGCCCATTAGGGTGGAAATTTAGTTTGTCCAACATTCCTTCTCCTTTGATCAGCGATGGTGTCCTGTTATTCATACCAGGGGTTTTGATGGTCCTCTTCGCTTGGTTGTTTTCTTAAAACAATCGAGCTAACCCAACTGTTGCTATAATAGTTGCTAGCTGCATCGCCTTTACTCCCAGGCGTATTTCATCTTTGAATCCCCCCAACAAAACACCCCACCAAAGCCTTCTCAGGCCAGCCCCGGACCCAAGTGGCTAATTTTTCAAACTCTACCTGGTACTCCCGTACCGATCCTTTTCAATTCCAAATGTTAAGGCTGATTCAAACACACCCACATCCTCTGCCTCTTCAGGACCCTCATAACTTGAAGGACTGAAGTCCACCAAAACACAATCCCAATTTCTTACTCGAATATCTGTATCAACAACACTATCCAAGTCCATCTTTTTCTCAATCCTTCTAACTCCATCAAGTAAGGTAACAGCATTATCCTCATGCAGGTAAAATCTAATCCCAAACAGCATCATCGCATCAACATTTATATATTCATAGAAGGAGGAGAGCTTTCTATTAACTGATTATATAGCTGACTATTAAAATCAAGGCCATGTCTTGAATCTCGAAGCAGGGTTTCTCATCCAATGGATAAGCATTAACATGCAACAAACAAAAAACTATGTTTAAAAAAGGCACATGCATATATCAATAAAAAAAGGAAAAGGCAAACAAATAACATGTTTCAGGTATATTTAGTTTCAATCATCCTTTGTAAACCACCATAGGCTTGTAGAACATCAGATAAAAACCTTTAGGATACCTTACAATCATTTGTAAACAATGGCAGTCAGACCATGAATTCCTATTTTCAATATTTAGCCTCAACAACTTCCTTACAACAAGGACAAGATTGGAGAAAACCCAAAATAGAACTTGCACATTATTGAATTCATGAACTACATTTTCAGTAAATTTAATTACCTTAGAAAAATAATACCAACTAGTTTGAGTATTTAGCCAGATTTTTTTTTGATAGGTAACAGAAAAATTTAGCCAGAATCTTTTTACACTACTGCATCTGAGATTTATTTGTTCCAAGAAAATCACATCGATAGTTCATTGTAATGTACAACTGAAACAGTCACAGTAAGAAGAATCAATAACCAATCAGATTATCAGAAGAGTAGAGAAAGTATCTTTACTTCCAAACGAATTTTCTTCTTATGATCATTAAATACAAATAAAAATGTTAAATACGAAAAACAGTTCAGTTTCAATTCCGTCAATCGCAAATAGTAGACAAGACACAAAACCCAAACTGCAGTGTTGGGTTTTCTTCAGGGAAAAAAACGAAGGCGCAAGATTAAAATGCACAAGACTCGCATAACAACGCGATAAAAACGAAACTTTTTCTAAGTAGTTTTATTGGAGAAAGGAAGAATTCTTACAGTATATTTTAAATTGACACAATTCAAACACCGAAATGCTTATTGACGAAACATAAAATAAATTAAAATCATAAAAACACTTGGTGTTGTGATTGAACCCGAGTAAGAAAGAACCAGCAATTCAAAAAATATCCCTCTGATCAAAATACAGTCTTCTTTTAATCCGGCAACATAAAAGGGGTAGTGAAACGTCAACCCCCCACCGCCCAAACAAAACAAAAAAAAAAAACAGTGTTTGTAGAAACAACATAAGTAGATATAAAACGGATCAATCAAACAGCACCACCAATAAAAAGCTGCAGAGAGTCCAAAATCGTCCCTCTTCGGAAGAATTTCAGCTGGTTTCCACAAAACCAAAACCAAAGCAATCTCAACGTTAAAAGATAGACAAAAAAGAAGAACAGTAATATTACAGATAACTAACTAGTCATCGAAGTCTACATGCTTCAAGAACAAAGACAAAAACCCTAACCTTTATGGAGATTTCTCAGGTCGATCTGTTCAAACGGCGTTCTCGCTACTCCACTGGAAAACCAAATTCGAGAAAGAGAGAGAACTTAGATATCGAAGTCTTCAGTCAAGCATAGATACTTAGATCTCAAGAAAAACATCTTCCGTTTTCGCCGGAATCAGAAAGCCAAAGAAACAAGTCAAGAAGAAGAGGTCCGTTGCTTTGAAGCTTCCCGGCGATCAGTGGACCCCCTGGCCTTTTGTCACTACTGGCGGCAATAATTAATAAAGCTTAGATCTTTCAATCATGACCGTCCGATCCAGTTACATCTATTACAAACTAGGCAGGCTCTATACAGCCGAAATAGCTTATCGGCTCTCTCATGAAAGACAAAATCGTTGAGCCCCTCGGAAGTTTTCTTCCGTCGAAAGGAGAGAATAACTTCGACGGTACGTTGAAGGGTATAAATGGACCGGTTTTGGATTGGACCCGTCTAATTTAAAATCAATTTGGACGGATTGGACGGACTAATAAGAAGGTATTATGATAATTCAACTCTAGTCAGAGAATGGAGAGCCTTCGTTCCTCCACGTCCCCATGTGAGAAACCCCGTAACTACTAATTAGTAAAGTATAGGGCGGCCCACATTTGGCGTACCTTGATTTTTCTTTGTTTTGGGAGAATGACGTTTCAATACAGGATCAGAATTTTTAGGTCGAAAATACAGTTGAGGATGCTAATTCACAAGAGTGGTGGTATTTGACATTTTGAATGTTTATAGGTTTATAATGAAATTCAGAAATCTGTAATGAGCCTGTTCCTAGTTTTCTGATTTTTGATAAATAAATATAAGCATATACCGAAGGTTCAGGGATATAATAGTCAATTAAGAAATCTGTAATGGGCCTCTTCTAGAATTAGAATTGTAGCTTCTACGCGTGTCTTTTTATAAACTTGGCTTTTATGCAAGGGGGCGGGGGAAGAATACAACAGAATTGCATGCAAAGAAGTACAAATGAGTATAAGTCTGTGGAACTTTGTTTTATATGCGTGTGCCATGTGGATTGTTCATGGATTGCATCCTTCCAAATGTTATAGTTCAGTCCACCCTTAGGGTAGAGCTAGGATTTCTAGGGGTGGACTGAATCTTGCCCGTGGATTGATGCTAAATTTATGGACAGGATGCGGTTTATAGGGAGGCTACTAGTAGATTAGCAAGGGATTGTAATTCAAATTTTTTGAAGTAGATTGCAGTTCACTTATCCAAAAATTAAAGTAGTTTATAGTAAATTGGCAACTTCGGTTATGTTTTCAAATAAATTGCAAAATAAGTTATTCCTAAAAAAAATAATTTTTTTTGACAAAACTGCCCCTAGAAAAGCAAACATATATCCACCTTGAGTTTCGCTCTCTAATTTTGATAGTGTTTAATATTGAGTTATTCCAGAAAACCTAGTTGAAATAAATGAAATCCACAAATCCTAAACTTCTTTAATTTGTATGCAAAAGGTCCATAAACTAACTACTCCATAAAACCCATATGTTCGTCTATGATACAACTAAATAAAACCCCTGCTTTAAACTGTGCACAGAACCTCCAAACAATGTTTTAAAAAATGACCCAAAGGTTGAGCTATTTTTTCCTTCGGGTCGAACCAGTTAGATCGTCTCACTTGTATTTAAAGTATATATATATGTGTGTGTGGGTGTGTGCGTGTGTTGGATACATTATATATATTTTTATATTTAATTTATACTTTTTTAATTCAGTTTTTAATTTTTATTTATAAAAATATTAAAAATTGCAATTTGATGCCAAAAAAGGGGTTTTTTCACAAAAATATTGGGCACCTTGGGACGCATAGATCTTGAAAAGTTACATAAAAAAAAATCACCAAAATCGGCCATCCAAGTGCAAAGTTATGGCCTCTAAAAGTTTACATGCATTGAGTGTGCAACCAGGGACCCAATCACCGGGTCGAACCAGCCAGGTCGAACAATTCTTGACCAAACCAATGTTTTTTCTTGTCTAGCGAGTCTTGACTGAACCAGAACTGGAATCATGGTCGGGTAACAGTTCAAACGGTTAGACCAACTGGGTTAATGGCAGGTTGAAAACATTGCCTCCAAGTTTAAGATTAAGAGAACGCATTTCTATCTTGGATGCTTAATTGGTAGGCTTTCAACATCTAGATTCCTAGTTATTGTGTCTCTACATGCATTTCCACAATAAATTTTACAAACATAGAAAATCTAACTTCATAACTATTTATTCCAACTCAAATCTACCATTATTAAGTTCTCCAAACCTACTAATTATATAATTTCATCAATATATAAGAGAAAATATGAAGGGAAAGGTAATAAAAAATAGAAAGCCTAACTTTACAAATTATATGGTTGAGAGTAAAAGGAAAAACATCTTAAGTAAAGACAAATTCTTAAGGGATTTAAGGTTGTGTTTGGTTTGAAGGAAAAGTAGGAAAAGAAAGGGAAAGGCAAGGAAACTTATACAAGGTTTGTAAATGTTTCCTTACAAACCTTGGAATATTATAGTTTTAGTGAATTGATTATGACTCGGATCTGACATTAAACAAGGCAACCTAAAACCTATACGAATCAATCTAAATAAGCAAAATATAAGAATGATAGAAAACCTAAAGGAGAGTGAAATTGAATGATCTGAATATCTTTTCGTTGCTCTATGCTTATGTTGCCTCTATAATATTTTTCTAAGTTGAGCTAAAGCTTTGATCACCTACCCTTGTTGTTTCACATGTTACGATCTATGCAGGTAGCATAATTCCCCTAATACAAATTGTCCATGTTTGTCCTTTCCATAACCAAATGCATCTACTAGCACATTTGCAAATTATTCTGACCCACTGAATAAGTTCACCCTATTTGAGTCGGACAGTTTACCTCTTTAAGTGAATAACAATACATTCTTGGGCCTTCCTTATTAATGACCATGTATAAATATCCATTTTTTTTACATTGTCATATATCCAAAGGGAATGGTAGAATTTAAGCCCTTAGAGGAGTGAGCATAACTCTACTCTTATATACATTCTCAGACTCCCATCGCATTCTACAACCTATACGGGTATGGGTAAGGTACGGTATTAAGCTAAACCCAACCTTCCCCGACCTGAATTATGTGGAAAAGCATATAAACTTTATGTATTAGGTGTTGAGTTTAAAAATATTTTGAATTTTATGTGAATGATAATTGATAGATTATGTGTTTTTTACATGTTTTAATCAAATAATTAGAATTTACAAAACACACAGAACGGATGGTGTTTAACAAATTTAGATAATATGTGGCAATAAACAGATCAAATGATCAAATGGTGTTTAACAGAATTAGACACCCTTTGGAATTAAACAAACCACATCGTCTTTTTGAAAATTTCAATTATTAGATAGTAATAAACAATGGTCAAGTAGGTGATCTCATAGTATTTGCACCCTTAAATACATTTAGAACCAATAAACCTCAAAGTTGTATATGATTCTCATAGGTGGCTAGATCATCAGGTATATTGTAGACCGAATGGTGTTTAACAAGTTTAGGCAGCATCCAGAAAAATACATATCGGGTGGTGTTTTGTAGACCTAGAACCATCTAGCATTACAGAGGCTGAATGATTGCTTACAATTTTGAGTCATCAACTATAGTTACATACATTTATTACACAAGTGATTTTTAATACACTCAAATTCCTTTAAAACCCAACAAACCACATGGTTGTATATGAGAATCATAAATGCACACCATCCGGTATGAAGAAGACCGAATGGTGTACTATAGACTTATAAACCGTCCAACATTACACAGGCCGGATGATTGCTTGCAATTTTGAGTTATCAATTATAGTGTTCAATTCATCTAAAATCCATCAAACCATAAGGTTGTATATGATTTTTACAAGTGTATAGACCATCTGATATAGTGGAATTAGGATGGCATTTTACAGATTTAGAAACCATCCAACGTTAAACATATTGGATGATTGCTTGCAATTTTGAAACATTAATTATAGTTGCAAGAATATATCCCCAGTTGATCTAGTTGTAGTTATACCATCAAATACATCTAGAACCCAATAAACCACATGGTTCTGTATGATTCTCATATGTGTATATACCATTTGGTATAGGGCATGTCGGATGGTGTTTTGTAGAGTAAGAAACCATCCAACATCACAAAGCCTAGATGGTTTATTGTAGTTTTAAATCATCAATTGCGATTGCAAATATCTATTATTTAGGTGATAAAATAGTATTTACACCCTCAAATTTATTTAAAACCCAACAGACCATAAAGTTGTGTATGATTCTCATAAGTGAATAGACCATCTGATATAATGGATACTGGATGATGTTTTATAGACTTAGAAACCATCCAGTATTACATAGTTCGGATGATTGCTTACAATTTTGAATCATCAATTATAGTTGTAATCATCTATTACGCAGGTGATAAAATAATAGATACACCCTCAAATTCATCCAAACCCCACTAGGCCATAAGTTTGTATATGATTTTTACAAGTGTACAGACCATATGGTATAGTGGAGACCAAATGGTGTTTTACAAACTTAGAAACCATCTAGCATTAAACAAACCGAATGATTGCCTACAATTTTGAAACATCAATTATAGTTACATGAATCTATCCCCAAATGATATAGTTGTAGACTTGTAGTTATACCATTAAATGCATCTAGAACCCAATAAACCACATGATTATGCATAATTCTCATATGTGTATAGACAATTTGGTATAGGTAGCCCGAATGGTGTTTTATATACTTCGAAACCATCCGACATTAAATAGACCATATTAAATTTGCCGCTAAAATATGCAAAAAGTGCTACTAAAGTCAAATCTTATTTTGAATTATTGATATTTTATCAAAATCAATGGTTTAGATTTTATTTGTTCAAAGAGCTTAAAACCTATAGAAAAACATATGCAGGTATTCTTCCCACTCTCATTTCCCATTCTTTCCTCTAGTTTCGAGTCTTTCCACAACTCCGTCTTCTCAACGAGCACAAAGTGAGAGGAAGGATTTTTATTTTTGAAGAACATAGAGAAGAAGAGAAATATTAACATTTGAGAGAAGAAGAGAGAGTATTATTACAACCAACCCAAACCAGTGCTATGTATCTCTTCGGAGAGAGCCAAATCCAATTGAGTTTCACTTGGGTTGTGACTTTCAAGGACAAAATTAGTTCTCTGTAGCTTGGATTGTTGAGAGACGAGTGTTTGGAAAGCAATCCTACAAGCAATATGGAGGGCTCTTTGCTAGGTTTTTATGGATTGAATTAGAGCTCA